ACCTCTCGGATTCGACAAACTCGCTTGAAATCTGTCCCGGGTGCCTTCCATGCCTCTGACCGCATCTTGGTCATATCCTCCATCAGAGGTATGCATTTTGAAGCGTCTAGTTTTCTGCCACTTTGAGGCAGGTCCCAGTCGACGGGAGAGACCTCCACCACAGGCTGTGACGCAGGCCCGCAATCCTGCTGCCTCAGTCTACTTTACTGACTACTGGCAAGTGTTTCCGCTTGCGCCCAGTCGAGAATCGAGAACGAGATCAAGATCCGCTTGATTTTGAACGAGAAGCCTCGAGCGAGAACAGTGATATTCGGCCACCAGCGAGACGAGATCGAGATCGCTCAGGTCACGTTTTTGCGAACTCTGATTCGGGGACTGCAGTGGTCCTATGGTTCTCCGTGCCATGGTCCTCAGTGGCCCTATGGTTTTCAATGGCCCTATGACTCTCAGTGTCTTTATGGGGACCAGTGCCGTGATCGGCGGAGTCGTTCGTCGTCTCGCGCCATGGCCCGCTGGCGTGACTCAGGTCAGGCCTGACGTGGTCAGACGGCTTGAGTGGTCAGGCGGACAAGCGGGCCGCCTGACGGTCTGAGTCTCAGTTTACTAAACACCAGAACCGACAGTCACCTCGTCGGAATTTTCGTGCAGGGACACACCTATTGTGAGCAGGCGCAAATGAACGTTTTCACTAACACCTCCAAGTAGCCGGATTGGTATGGCCATCCAGGATAAATCGTATGTAAAATGAGCAATTAAAAGCTCAAAGTTCAAAGTTTGACCTAGATGAAGATTGGCCTATCAAACGACGTCGAAGCTCCTGCTGGAGTCTAATCAAGACATCAAAACAAACTAAGTTGAAGAGGAAGAGGCTGAAGATGGCCCCTTGTTGTGTCCCTCTTTCTCTAGGAGAGAGTCGAGTTATTGATATACCAAGATCCCTACTGTCCTCATTAATACAGGAGATAGCATCATGATCCAAGCTGCCACAGAAAAGGCGGCGTTTGGTAGACTAACATGGTGCATTAACACTGTGATGACCACCGCATGTCGTACAGCCACGAATGTTCAAGTAGTCGTGAGCTCTGAGTCTCTGAGCTTCAGTGTAGATACCTCTGTTCTTGATCACAGCATTACGGTCAGCCATAGGTACTCTATAGACGGTGAACTTATCAATACTTTTCACTTTAATCCAGTCATCAATATGTAACTCCGGAGCATAGGACTTAGCCTGCCTACGCACCTCTTCCTCGTTGTTAGAGTCATGGTCGCCAGTGTAGATAAGGATCTCAGGAAGAAGCTACAGATCAACTATGCAGGAGGGTTTCACACCGAAGGATTTCCTTGCATATCTTGCTAGGGCAAATCCAATCTTTTTGGCTTTGTCAACTCTCTCTATGATGTGCTTCTTCCACGAGCCGCTGCAAGTAATCCATACTCCTAACATCTTCATTTCTATGCTATTCCTC